TTTGGGATTTAGGGTTTTGGGTTTGGGGTTTTGGATCTACTTAAAGGCTCATGGGACTTAGTAACTGGAGTTATGAATAAAGTAACTATACTGATAATTACTCATAACCCCAACTAAGGTACTTGTAGCTGTACATCGTAAGTCCCATGAACCTCCATGTAAAGATACCAAAAGATCCGTACATACGGCTTAAGGTTTACAGTAGAGGCTCTCATCTAACATGAGGTTTTGCAAGGTTTTCAAGGTTTGGCGGGTTCGTTGTCGTGCTTTTCGCGGCTTTCTGAGATTTGGGTGTTAGTAGCCTCGATCACTTGAGGGTTTGGAGTTTGGTGTGTAGGAGTACGGCGAAGGATATTTCGAGTTTTGCTTGTGTAGCAAGGTTTGCATTCGTGGTTGTCTCATCACTGCCCCTACTGCGCCCTACATCCACCCTGAAAATTTCTTAACACAACCCTACTTCACATATCCGCACGTCTTCGCACTGACTGTTGCTCACATGCTTCATCGGAGTGGTTCTGAGGGTTGTTGGAAGGAGGGCGATCTTCATTTGGGACACTTCCTGTCTACTGCGGTCTCAAGCCTTGAACTCAATGTCTGGCAATCCTTACTTATACTGTCCAGCTGCCCATAAAGAGCCCTTTAAAGAACCCTCAAAGAAACCATTAACAAAGCCCTACGGTTGATGATATAGATCCTGCATTACCCGTAATAAGGAATATACCCTAATTCCCATAGTATAGGGTCCTTAAGGTAGTGCAGGATTTATATCATCAACAGTAGGACCTAGGAAGAGAGGCAAAGCAACCCTTCCCTGTTTATAGGCTTTAGGGAAGGTTTCAGTTCAGCGCCATTTTGAGTTTAGGGTGTAGGTCAGAGAGCATATGAAGCTTAACAGGCACAGGCAGCATACAGCCTACTAGGCGAAGGCCAAGTGCAATTCTGACAAGCAGCGAAACGAAAAACACGAGAACCTCACGTCCGAATGACAAACACGAAGCCAATCTGTTTCAAACCCTACACCCTAAACCCATAAACTCTAAACCCATTTCCGGGGTCACAACTCAACTAAACCATTAACTCAGCCCTGAACGTCAACCCATGCACAAGCCCAGCTCAAATAAGACATGCTCTAAGGTAGGGGCCTTAAGAATTAGAAGAGGGTTTTGGGGTATACTACAC